TGTCGTTTAATGTTTGTTTATTTTATGTATACTTGATTGTGTATCCTTGTTCATAATAAATATTCAAATAATTTATTTTTATTTTATGTCCCTTGCACCAGTGTATGAACTGGTCCATGTCGTATTCTATCATGGACATGCGGTAACCAAACCAGACACACAACGGTGGACATGCGGTAACCAAACCAGACACACAACGGTGGACATGCGGTAACCAAACCAGACACACAACGGTGGACATGCGGTAACCAAACCAGACACACAACGGTGGACATGCGGTAACCAAACCAGACACACAACGGTGGACATGCGGTAACCAAACCAGACACACAACGGAGAACGTGCATTTCGGTGTCCTTATATTTTCTAACCTCTTTACACCGGGATTCAGTAACACAATGAGATTTGGGTTTGTTATTTCCCTATGTTAATCAAAAATTCTTTTGGAAAAGGAAAAAGAAAGATAATGGGAAGAGTGGCGAGACATTTTTTAGAATGATTGTGTTTAACACAATTCGCAAGTCATTTGGTGCAGGAGTGTATATACATGTAAATCCATGTGCTAACCAGGAAGTAAACTTTGTTTAAAAATCACATATGCTTGAAAAAAAGGGTAAATTGTACCCGTGATTGTACATGTACGTCTGGGATTCTTCTCCATTAGTCCCCACACTACCATTACGGGATGTGTGAAAGTGATGGAGAAGCAGACTAGGGTTCAATCTCATTACAAACTGTGCAAATACCCAACTACACAGTATTGTTCCCTTGAAAGGTATGTCGTTGTCCTGCGAGAACAAAAGCTGAGCTGTCATGTATTTTTTTTTTCAAAATCACTGTACAAGCTCTTTGAGGTGGCACTGAACACATATTATTCATATTTGAATCTGTCCTGCCCACTGTTCAGAATCAAGGTCCATCAAATAGCTCATCGACCAATCAGGATGTCTATAAGCCATGCTATTTGCTGGCACTCAAACATTAGGTTAGATGACGGTTTCCTTTAACAGACCCATGCAAAAAACAGTTTCAAAAATGGTGACTCTACTATTGATCACTTATTATGGTGATTGCAACCAACATGGGTAAGTGATACATCATCCAGTTGTAGGTTTCATGTGATATCTATGTAAGGATAGACGTGCTACTGATGAGCAATTACCAAACCTGGCAGAAAAACACAAAACAATGTTAGTGCTTTGGTGGTGTCAGTGTATGTTTAGTGGTAGTGCCAATCCATTAGAGTGCGAAGAGTGCAGGTAACATATGTGGTCCAAGCAGACAAGCTCTGGATGTTTGCATACAATACCAAGACCCAGTTTTTCCATATACTGAGAAAGCATCTCCAGCAAGGACCAGAATTTGTCTGTTAAACAATATGTTTACTGTATCCAAATAGTGCAAGTAATTGGTAGTGACCAATAAGCAACTGACTAAATCAGTTCCTTCTAATACTAATTGTTACTTGAATCAATATAACTCTTGTATATGCAATTTTTTTTTCATAAAAAATACAGTCATTGATTTTGCTTACACATGATGAAATTAAACAATATATACAAATTATATCTGCACATTACCCAAATGTACCAAGTTTGATCAAAATCTTGTACGTTTTAGATTTTGTATACAGATTGATAGATAATTATGCAAATTAGCTCTTTAATATGCACGGTCATGGTCCAAAAACTAACTATGTCTGAACATTACTCCAAGGTACTTCTGTACAAAGTTTGATTAAAATCCGCTTAGTAGAAATTTTGCTTACACAGGCTATACAAAATGCAAATTAGCTACTTAATACATAGACATGGTCCCAATCATGTATGCACATCACCCCAAAGTACACATGTACCGAATTTGATCGAAACCTGCTCAGCTTTGCTTACACATACTTAGTATTGGAGTTTAATTAAATGCAATGCAATTCAAAATAGAATAGCGTTTTAATTCAAGTTTAATATCCTGTGACTTAACGAGAAATGTTTGTAGGTTTTAGTAAAGGG